AAAAATTTGAGCATACTAAATTAAAGAATAATAAGGAATTTGAGAATACTAAATTAAAGAATAATAAAGAATTTGAGAATACTGAATTAAAGAATAATAAAGAATTTGAGAATACTGAATTAAGGAGTAATAAAGAATTTGAGAATACTAAATTAAAGAATAAGGAATTTGAGAATACTGAATTAAGGAATAATAAAGAATTTGAGCATACTAAATTAAAGAATAATAAAGAATTTGAGAATACTGAATTAAAGAATAATAAAGAATTTGAGAATACTGAATTAAGGAGTAATAAAGAATTTGAGAATACTAAATTAAAGAATAATAAAGAATTTGAGAATACTAAATTAAAGAATAATAAAGAATTTGAGACTAAGAAATCAAACAATTTGAGACTGAGAAATCAAAGAATCTGAGACTGAGAAATCAAAGAATCTGAGAATAATCAATTAAAGAATTTGAGACTCAGAAATCAAATAATTTGAGACTAAGAAATCCAAGAATTCAAGAAAAATAATAAGCAACATATCCCGCTTTTTTTTGGGGGGGAAGAGTGAGGAAAAGGCAGGAAATATAAAAAAATCCAAGATTTCCCTTCTCCCTGTCCACTTTGGCCCTCTCAGGGTGGGAATTCGGGGAGCAATCAGCAATATTTAGTTAATTAATCACTTCCCAGGGTGGCAGGTCACCCACCCCTCGCTTTGGGAAGAGCAAGATCCATTAAATTCCCGGATTAAGGTCCCTCCGCATCCAGGAGGGGGAGGAAAAGCAGGAAAAGGGGTCGGGTGTGAGGGGAAAACTCCTCCCTTACCCTTTGCAACCTCAGCTTCTCCTTCTCTGCAGAACTCCTGTGCAATTTCTGAGGCCCCTGGAAAGCACAAAAATCCACTTTTAGGGAAGAGCCAACATTCCCTCCCCTTCCCAAAAAAAGGGCACGGATTCAACTGGAGCAACGACATCCCTGCAGATTATTCCCAGTGCCCTCAGAATTCCCAGGAATACCCTTGATTTCCATTTCGGGGTCTTTATTCCCATTAAATCCCCCTCATTCCCCAAAATCCCCCTCAGCTCCAAAAGCACTTTTCCCAAGGGAACATCCCCTGCAAAGCAAACACAGGAGCTGCTCTGAGCCAGAAATTAATAATTAATATTCCATAATTAATTGTGGAGATGAATAATTATGGGAAAATCACTTTAAAACTTGGGTTTGGGGTGGTTTTTTTGCATCCTACCCCTCACTTTTTTGTATTTAGATACAATTTCACGGATAAAAGGATTATTATCTGTATTTTAAGGCTGTTTCTTCTTGTAATCGATCATTTTGGGGGAAAAATCAATTATTTGGGGGAAAAATCAATT